TCGATGACGCCAAGGGGCTATGGCCTGAACTGCTGCCAGAAGTACTATGGGCATACAGCACCACGCCAAAACTAGCACAGGCGAGACGCCATATTCATTAGTCTACGGGACTGACGCAGTTATACCCGTCGAAGTCGGAGAACCTAGCCTGAGATACTCCAACGAGAGCGGACCAAGTAATGACGAAAGTAGGTTACAAGACCTGGATGAAGTTGAAGAGCGAAGGGATATGGCTCACGTAAGAATGATAGCCCAAAAGCAACAAGCAGAGAGGTACTATAACAAGAAGGCCAAAGTACGACCACTCAAGGTCGGAGACTATGTTCTCAAAGCCAAAACACAAGCAGCAAAAGACCCTAATGAGGGAAAACTGGGAACAAACTGGGACGGGTCGTACAAAATCACGGCGGCAGCAAACAAAGGAGCATTCCAGTTAGAGACAATGGAAGGGAAACTACTCCAAAACAATTGGAATGTCGCCCATCTCAAATACTTTCACTTCTGAAAAGAGACGCCGCCTAAGTCGTACTCTTTTTCCCTCACCCGGGTTTTGTCCCAATCGGGTTTTCTCGGTGAGGTTTTTAATGAGGTGGCAAGGGAGACGTCTAGAGGTCCGTAGTGTCGTTCATTACCCCGCCCGTTGATGTAATCTCCAGGCCGAGTAATGAAGGGACTGGGTATAGATAGCCAAATCTCCAATTGTATGTACAGAGTCAACACGTATTTCCTATAGGAATATAGTCAAATCTCCAATTGTATGTACAAAGTCAACACGTATTTCCTACGGGAATATAATCAAATCTCCAATGTATGAATGAAACTAGCATCCACGATACTCCAACAAATAAAATAGAGCGCCATCCTCACGATGGGATACTACTTCTACGCCACCTCGAAAGTAACATCCCAATGGCTAAGGCCATCGACAAAGATACGAGTTCGACTTCACTCGAACTACGACGGGATACTACTTCGACGCCAGCTCGAAAGTAACATCCCAATGGCTAAGGCCATCGACAAAGATACGAGTTCGACTTCACTTGAACTACAACGGGATACTACTTCGACGCTAGCTCGAAAGTAACATCTCAATGGCTAAGGCCATCATCAAAGAGACAAGTTCGACTTCACTCAAACTACGACGGGATACTACTTCGACGCCAGCTCGAAAGTAACATCCCAATGGCTAAGGCCATCGACAAAGATACGAGTTCGACTTCACTCGAACTACGACGGGATACTACTTCGACGCCAGCTCGAAAGTAAAATCCCAATGGCTAAGGCCATCGACAAAGATACGAGTTCTACTTCGCTCGAACTACGACGGGATACTACTTCGACGCCAGCTCGAAAGTAACATCCTAATGGCTAAGACCATCATCAAAGATATGAATTCGACTTCGCTCGAACTATGACGGGATACTACTTCGACGCTAGCTCGAAAGTAACATCCCAATGGCTAAATCCATCATCAAAGATATGAATTCGACATCACTCGAACCACGACGGGATACTACTTCGACACCAGCTCGAATGTAACATCCCAAAGGCTAAGGCCATCGCCAAAGAAGAGGGTACCACCTCACTTAAAGCAAAATCAGCTTAACAATCCGATAAACACCCGGGATATCGTAAGTATTACAAAGATTACCACCGAATCGACAAAACAATTTTTTCATTACAACAAAATATCACTAGCACCTATCTTTACAATGGGCTCAAAGACGCCGTTACAAAAATCCTGAAGCAAAAGTAAGTACAAACCAAAAATCACACATCATCCCCGGTAGCATACACATCTTCGTATCAAGAGTCAGAGGCAAGACGGTTCGCATCGTCAGAGTTGATATCATCCCCGTCAGGCGTGAGAGGGTCGTATCCACATGCCTCACGAGCTGCGCAAGCTTTGGCACGCATATCCTGAAGTTCTACTTCAGATTCCCTCCCGTCAGCATGAAGAGCCTTGTACACATCAAGTTGAGCCTCAGCATGGACCCACAACTCATATAAACAACGAGGCACGACAGGATCGGCCGAAGCACGAGACGTAGAAGGTTGCGAGTGTCGACGCGTGTCCTCCGTTCTCAGTGATGCCACTTGTCCGGCCAACGCAGATAGCTCCGCCTCCAACTCCTCAACACGCCCCTCAAGCCCCGCTACCTTAAGCTCGGATGCCTCCTTTTCCTTGGTCCGCTCCGACCTACAGACACAGAGGGCATCTTCCAAAACCGCTGCTTCAAAAATAACAGTCGCCAGTCTGTCGGCACTCACACTCAACTCACCCTTGAGCTCATTGATCTCCACCGTCTTCATGCCCAATTCGGCAGTCAAACTGGCCATCTTTGCTTGTAGGTCGGCGTTCTCGTCCATCACCCCTCTACTTAACTCGAGCTCATCTTCCTTCGCCTTAAGGGACGCCTCGAGTTCACTGTTGCGAGCGACGACCTTCATAAGGTCTTCGTCTCGCTCCCTTAACTCCTCGACCTTGCGCGCCAATTGATCCTCCCCTGTTTGAGCCCTTCGCGGAACAGTTGGAAGTCAGGGTCCTGATTGTATATGTCGGCCATCTCACGATGCTTGGTGCGATATTCTTGATATTTAGAAGACATCTTCCCGTAGATGGCCGTCCTCTTCCTTTCCCGGCGCTCGCGCTCAATCTCCATGATAAGGGTCTGGCACAACAAGAAAAATTTAAAACAAAAAGACAGGCCTATGAACTTCCACGAAGTCCCTTTGCGCTGGAACCATATCAACATGAGCGGGAATGTTATATTTTGCACGAAGAGCATCGATATGAACTTGCTCAGTTTTAGAGAACACAGGCATAGGAGTAAGAGGAGGATCCTTAAGGAAGTCGCTTCGAGACATAGGGTGTCTCGGCAGCAACTCCTCCTGGTGGGAAAGTTGTCCCCCTCCTCCACCGTTATGCCCTCATCGCCAGAAGGGAGCGCCACGGACAACGGAGTGGCGTCAGAAACCCCCTCACGAGATCGATGTGTTCTAGGCATCTCTTCGGCGAAAAATGTGTTGGAATAACAGAGAAAGCTAAGAGTGAAGAATGGGAGAAGAGGAAGCAGAGAAATCGTTGGAGCAAACACGGGGGAGATGAGAAAGAATAACCAGAGACGAAATGGCCAAGAGTTTTTGAAAAAACAAACCCTCCACCTATCTATAGGATTGGGTAGCGCCAGAACCGAAGCGGAAGGTTGCAGAATGGCACCGAAATCGAAGCGACGAGCCGTCAGCCCCTGTCTCGAAAACACACATAATGATGATGCATGCGGAATGATGTCATTTCCCGATAAGATACACCACCCAGGGTCTTGTTGAGCACGCTAACCTCCCATTGTTGGCCAAGCCATAACGCTTCGTGAAACCAAATTTCTCCATAGGAGTGGGCGATGTCCGCTTATCAAGGACGCACCAAGTTGCGACCTCGACAAGCGGAGGGACTAACTGTATGGATCCAAATTTGGACGACCACGGCTAGTGAAAAATATGACAGAAGACGAGATCTTCGTAGCTCGACGTCCTACGGAGGACGATAGACAGCGAACAGAGGACGTATGACTTTTACAGTAGTGTAGGCCCAACCGGGGGCACTAGGAATATACTCGCGAATATTCTCTATGATATGTCTTTTAGGGTTCAGAAGAGGATTGTCCCTTATATATAGTGGGAGAAAAATCTTGTTAAAGGGGCTTTTGAGGGCTGATTTGGCTAAGAACATTGATTGTAATACTTTTCTACAGAAAAGATTAGCATTTTTAACATCCGATCACTCACTTTCAGAAGATCAAGAAATATTACCCATTGTGTTCATCTTGTATACCTGTTGTTCTAGAGTTTATTATACTTAGCTAAAATTTACCCCTTTATTATCTTTAATTAATTTATTCAAAAAGGTTCCAATATCTTTTGAGTCAAACACCCGCACCGCTTGCCATTCCTAATTTCGGTTTCACTCTTCACATTATTCTGGGTGTTGTATAATAAAGTGATGGATGGTGAGACATTGGAAAAAAGATGTCATTTCTTTTCTTTTCAACGTCACATTTGCAAGCTGTGAAATTTTCTTATTTTTCCTATAATATTAGAATATCTTTTTTTTTTGTGTGTGTTATTTATTATGATTTGTGATCTCTCTTTAAACTCTTCGAAGATTCTATATTATTGTTTTGAATTCTTCCGTAACCAAAGGTTATATGTACACGATTTATATACATCAATTAAATATCTTTCAGCAACTATTATGTCCATCACAAATAACTACTACCTATTATTAAGTGTAGGCGTACACAATGATTTACTCGTTATCCTAAGGAAGGCATACGTTGCTGGAATTTTATATAGTTTCTACAAATATTATTTTCATTTAATAACAATTTCTTGATAAGTATGCGGGAATAAAAAGGAGGAGCAACAATCTAGCTCTTAAAAAGAAGGCTTCACATTTAACTGTATTGTTGGCATATAAAAATTAAATAATATTATCAAGTTGAAAACTTGATATATTATAAAAACGGCATAATTTAAGTCGTTCGAACATTACTTTTCAAATTCATTCAATATTAATTTTTCTATATGATTGTGCTTGCAATATTGATAATAAAAATTGAGCACATAGGCTCACCATTTAATAATTTTGAGCTTGCATTTTCCCTCTTTAGTTTCTGCAACTCATCCCACACTGATATTTTTATAACTTTTGTGCGAATTAATATGGAATAAACGTACAACGCACGTATCTAAAAATTAATACATTGACATATACAAAATATATATAACGAGTTCTGGTGATCCCTCTGCCTCATAGGTAGGTCCGCCCCTGATTTGGAGAGACATAACTTAAAGTGATGAACCGTTGCTTTTATCATTATTACAAAAACTGTAGTAATTGACACTTTATTCTTTTCTTGTTATAAGGAGCCTAGCTAGGAATATTCGTACCTCCAAACAACTATATTTAAAAGAAACCAACATTTTTTTAGAACAGAAAACCTAGCTAAACCACTAGAAACAGAAAAAAACTACTTTTATATAGTAGAAATAAAAAATTAGGAAAGTACTACTATATATCCTAATATGGCAGTTATGAGCACAGAACAAATATTTTTCTCAAAAGCTTATATACTTTCATCAGATAATGATATAGAAGAGTCTCTTGCATTGGTGAGAGAAGAAGGTTTCATATCACTAAACCAACGTTGTGACACTATGCTTCATTTTCTGGCCATAGAAGGAAATGTGGCTGCTTTTAGAGCACTTATTGAAGAAGGTCTTCTTGGTAGAGAAGCACTTAGAAAGAAGAATGTCAAAGGATGTACATCATTGCACGAAGCAGCGAGGTATTATTGAAATGTGTAACCATCAAATTGTTTTGATAATTTAAACAGTTAAAGATAATAAACTTTTGCTTCTTCAAATATTGTTGTTATACTATATTTGTAAAATAATTCTGGAAATATAAATGAATATAAACAGAAATGAACATAAATAGAAATGTCAGAAAATCAATTCGAGTCCACTGTATTCACAGTGTTTCCTTAAGGAATTTAATCCCCTCCTAGTACCCAAGGGTATGGATTATTTCCTCCCAGGATAGAACGAATTACACACTGGTGTAGTGGTACTTCAAACCCCATCGTTTCAGCGAACACAAAATTCAGTAGCAAATCACACTTACTTTTTGCTTTGTTTGATGCTAAAAGTATGCAGAAGAAGGAGAAGAAACTCAGAAAATCGTAGTGAAATTCTGAGCAGAATAGTGTTGTATTTATAGCCAAAGTTGGGCTGAAATCTGAAGAGGTGCAACTCTTCAGAATGGCTGTTTATGCAAAACGCCCACAGCATAAATGCCATTACATAAATGGCCATTTACTCAACAATAAAGAGGGAAAATTGAAGAGGGTAGTTACTTTTCTGTTACCAAAACAGAAAAACGAATTGGATTTAATATTAATATTTAATATTAATATTCTGTTATTAAAACAAATATTTAATAATAAATTTGGTCCAAAAAGTTAATCAATCAATCGATCATTTGACCAAATCCAAATCCAAATCCAAATCCGAATCCGAAGCCGAAGCCGTAGCCGTAGCCGAAGCCGAAGCCGAAGCCGAGCCGAGCGAGCGACGACGACGACGACGACGGCGCGAGGCTTGCCTTCTTCTCAACTCTTTAAGAGCTAGAAGAAGAGCAATTGCTTATATACCCATAAAAAACCTCTTCCTCTTCCAATATGGGACAATGCCCATTTGCCAAGGGAGAGGGAACTTAAAATTTCACTCAAAAATTTCATTTCCCTCCATTTCCCTAAATACATCCAAAACCCAACAATCCCCCACATGAATGGGGAATGGCTATATCACGGAAGTATGCATGAAAAATTGTGTGATTCGCAAGTAAGGATTAATCGCATCTGGATAAGTAGGTTTCTCTTTGAACTTTCCGTAGTGAACTTTTGTCGGATATACTCGATCAATCTGTAGATTTGATATCTTTGAACCGTCGAACTTTAGTGTATACCTAGACAACCACAAGTCACACAACCAACCCTTAACCGTCTTTGGTTCTCATTGTTGTGTTCGTTTCAGCCATGAACACCGCCTGGTTTCACAAGTGCGTAGAGAACTGGCCTTACAATGTTCTCCTTGAAGCGGCTAACACTTCACACTTACGTAGGTGATTCCTAAACGTGTCATCCCGTAGATACACTATTTGATATACCCCGTATCAAATTTAGAAATCATTAAAAAGCCTTAATGCTTTATCCTTGGTACTGAACATTGTCCCATCACGAGAATGGACCAAAAGTTTAGTTGACAATGTTGAACCGTCATAAATGACTTTGTTTGATCTCTTTGAACCTAGATCTTGGGATCTCCACTCTTCTAGGTAGAGTTACCTCCACTATGACTTGTTCTCGGCCACAGTCCCATTCCTCTTGATGACTTCTCAACTACCTCTCTAGTTAGGCCTTTCGTAAGTGGATCCGACACATTATCACTTGACTTTACATAGTCAATCGTGATAATTCCTCTAGAGAGTAATTGTCTAACAGTTTTATGTCTTCGTCATATATGGCGAGACTTATCGTTATACATAACGCTCCCAGCCCTTCCAATTGCCGCTTGACTATCACAATGTATGCATATTGGTGCCAACGGTTTGGGACAAAATGGAATATATTTCAAGAAATTCCGGAGCCATTCAGCTTCTTCACCGGCTTTATCCAAGTCTATGAACTCAGCCTCCATTGTAGAGCGGGCAATATAAGTTTGTTTGGATGACTTCCAAGATACCGCTCCTCCATCAATAGTGAATACATATCCACTTGTGGATTTGGAATCAGTTGATCCGGTGATCCAATTCGCATCACAGTATCCCTCAATGACCGCAGGATATTTATTGTAGTGCAAAGCAAAGTCCTGGGTATGTACTAAATACCCCAAAACTCGTTTCATGGCCATCCAATGAGATTGGCTGGATTGCTCGTATATCGACTCAATTTACTTATAGCACAAGCTATATCTGGTCGTGTACAATTCATGATGTACATTAAGCAACCCAACACACGAGCATAATCCAATTGTGATATGCTCTGGCCTTTGTTCTTTGCTAATGCAAGATTCACATCAATTGGAGTCTTTGCAACTTTAAAGTCCAAGTGCTTGAATTTTTCAAGTACTGTCTTAATATAATGAGATTGTGACAATGCTAGACCTTGAGAAGTCTTATGGATCTTAATTCCCAGAATTAAATCAGCAACTCCCAAGTCTTTCATATCAAACTTGCTAGTTAGCATACGCTTAGTAGCATTTATGTTGGCAATGTCATTACTCATTATGAGCATATGATCCACATATAAGCAAACGATGACTATGTGGGAACTTTTTAATGTACACACATTTATCACATTATTATAATCCATTTGACAACATTGTTTGGTCAAATTTAGCATGTCATTGTTTGGGTGCTTGTTTTAATCCGTAAAGGGACTTAACAAGTCCACAGACCTTCTTTTCTTTACCTGGAACCACAAACCCTTCAGGTTGTTCCATGTAGATTTCTTCCTCCAACTCTCCATTTAAGAAGGCCGTCTTAACATCCATTTGATGAATTTCAAGACCATAAACTGCAGCTAACGCTACTAACGTTCGTATGGATGTAATTCTTGTAACTGGAGAGTATGTATCAAAATAGTCAAGACCTTCTCGTTGTCTATACCCTTTGACCACAAGTCTTGCCTTATACTTGTCAATAGTGCCATCATCTTTCATTTTCCTCTTAAATATCCATTTAGAACCCAACGGTTTATTTCCAGGAGGAAGATCAACCAATTCCCATGTATGGTTGTTCAATATGATTCATTTCCAAAATCTGGTCCAAATGAAGTAGACGTTCTTTGACGTTTACTACGTCTTGGATCCTCCTGGTTAAGTGTACTTTCTTTTGTTTCTTCCCGAGATTAGTCGCATATCCTATGAAAACACAATCAACGGTTTTAGGTCCTATTTTTACCCTTTTGGGTTTAGGAACTTGCACTTACACCCCCACACTTTAAAATAATTCAAGTTGGGCTTCCTTCCTTTCCATTTTTCATATGGAATGGATTGTGTTTTGCTATGGGGTACTCGATTTAGTATTCGGCTAGCCGTAAGAACGGCTTCCCCCCCACAAGTTCTGTGGCAAACCAGAACTTATCAATAATGCGTTCATCATCTCCTTTAATGAACGATTCTTTCTTTCTGCAATCCCATTGGATTGGGGCGTGTAAGGGGCCGTTGTTTGATGAATAATTCCATATTCTAAACATATTTGTTCAAAAGGAGATTCATATTCACCACCCCTATCACTTCTTATCATTTTGATTTTCTTATTAAGTTGCGTTTCAACTTCATTTTTGTATTGCTTGAATGCGTCTATTGCTTCATCTTTGCTATTAAGTAAGTAAACATAGCAATATCGAGTACTATCGTCAATAAAAGTTATGAAATACTTTTTTCCACCGCGAGATGGTATTGACTTCATGTCACAAATATCTGTGTGAATTAAGTCTAAAGGATTTGAATTCCTTTCAACCGACTTATAAGGATGTTTAACATACTTAGATTCCACACATACTTGACATTTTAATTTGTCACATTCAAACTTGGGCAATACTTCCAAATTAATCATTTTCCGTAAGGTTTTATAATTGACATGACCCAAACGTATATGCCATAATTCATTTGACTCAAGTAAGTAAGATGAAGCTGAAATTTTATTATTATTTTCAACAACCATTATATTCAGCTTGAAGAGGCCCTCAGTGAGGTAACCTTTTCCTACAAACATTTCATTCTTACTTATTACAACCTTATCGGAAACAAAAACACATTTAAAACCATTCTTAACAAGAAGTCCAGCAGAGACTAAATTCTTTCTAATCTCGGGAACATGAAGGACGTTGTTCAAAGTCACCACTTTGCCGGAAGTCATTTTGAAAAATATCTTCCCACGTCCTTTAATCTTCGCCTTTGAAGCATTTCCCATAGAAATCGTCTCATCGGGTCCAACAGGAGCATAAGAAGCAAAAGCTTCTCTAACAGCACAAACATGGCGAGTGGCTCCAGAATCAATCCACCACTCTTTAGGATTGCCACCAAGTTGCATTCGGAAAGCATGCAGATAAATCATCGACATCATCATGCTTTTTAACCATGTTTGCTTGACCCTTCTTCTTGTCTTTCTTCGGAGCACGACACTCAGTAGATTTGTGTCCGGTTTTTCCACAATTGTAGCAGTTTCCACTGAACCGCTTCTTGCTTGGGTTGTATTTCGGTCCAGAAGCCTTCTTCCTCTTTTTGTTCTCTTCAACAATATTTGCTCCCATTATTGTTGAGTTTCCACGGGCTCTCTTTTCAGCAGCTTTCTTGTCCTCTTCGATTCTCAACCGAACAATGAGATCTTCAAGGGACATCTCCTTGCGTTTGTGTTTCAAGTAGTTTTTGAAGTCCTTCCACAAAGGAGGCAACTTCTCAATCATTGCTGCTACTTGAAATGCTTCATTGATGACAAGACCTTCAATGAAATTTCTGTTAGTAAAAATACTAAGATTATTACTTTCAACATCAATATTAATTTGATTTATACCTTCAGCAAGGAGATCGTGAATAATCACTTGCAATTCCTGGACTTGGGTAATAACAGACTTGCTATCTATCATTTTGTTGTCCAAAAACTTTGCAGCAACAAACTTTTTCAACCCGGCATCTTCGGTTTTGTATTTCTTTTCAAGCGCAGTCCACAGTTCCTTTGACGTTTCCACGCCACTGTAGACGTTATACAAAGCATCCTCCAGCCCGCTTAGAATATAATTCTTGCACAAAAAATCTGAATGCTTCCACGCCTCAATCACGAGAAAGCGTTCAGTTTCTGGAGTTTCATCGAACAGCACAGGAACATCTTCCTTGATGAACTTCTGGAGACTTAGAGTAGTCAAATAGAAGAACATTTTTTTTGCTGCCAGCGCTTGAAATCAATCCCGGAAAATTTTTCGGGTTTTTCTGCCGGTGCCAATGCTGCCGGTGTCGTTCGGCTTGTTGAGGCATTGGCAGTCACCATTGGAACAGCTTGGTTCTCATTTTCACTGGTCATTTCTGTAAAAGAATGACACAAACGTTAAAATCACGTAGATTTTAATAGAGTACAAAACCACAAAGGTTTTACTCTTCCAGAAACAGTAAGTACAAATACAGAAAATATATTAAATTCCTTAAGCTTGTTGTTATACTGTATTTGTAAAATAATTCTGGAAATAAATGAATATAAATAGAAATAAACATAAACAGAAATGTCAGAAAACCAATTCGAGCCCACTATATTCACAGTGTTTCCTTAAGGAATTTAATCCCCTCCTAGTACCCAAGGTTATGGATTATTTCCTCCCAGGATAGAACAAATTATACACTGGTGTAGTGGTATTTCAAACCCCAGCGTTTCAGCGAACACAAAATTCGGTAGCAAATCACACTTACTTTTTGCTTTGTTTGATGCTAAAAGTATGCAGAAGAAGGAGAAGAAACTCAGAAAATCTTAGTAAAATTCTGAGCAGAATAGTGTTGTATTTATAGCCAAAGTTGGGCTGAAATCTGAAGAGGTGCAACTCTCCAGAATGGCTGTTTATGCAAAACGCCCATAGCATAAATGCCATTACATAAATGGCCATTTACTCAACAATAAAGAGGGAAAATAAAGAGGAAAAATTGAAGAGGGTAGTTACTTTTCTGTTACCAAAACAGAAAAATGGATTGAATTTAATATTAATATTTGATATTAATATTCTGTTATTAAAACAAATATTTAATAACATTTCTGTTAATATTTTACTATTAACAAATAAATTTGGTCCAAAAAGTTAATCAATCAATCGATCATTTGATCAAATCCGAATCTGAATCTGAATCCGAAGCCGAAGCCGAAGCCGAGCCGAGCGAGCGACGAGGACGACGGCGCGAGGCTTGCCTTCTTCTCAACTTTTTAAGAGCTAGAAGAAGAGCAATTGCTTATATACCCATAAAAAACCTCTTCCTCTTCCAATATGGGACAATGCCTATTTGCCGGGGGGGGGGGGGTAACTTAAAATTTCACTCAAAAATTTTATTTCCCTCCATTTCCCATTCACCCTCTTTTAAGTATTTAATATATTAATTAAATACATCCAAAACCCAACAGTTATTTCTTAACACGATCTTTTTGTACGTAGTGGCGTAGCCACATATGATGAAGGGTGGTCAGTTGAATATCCTTCATCAAAAAATTATAATGTATATATAAAAAATTGTACTGCATATATAAATAAAAAATTACGTTTTATACACGTGTATTAAATCTTGAATACCCTTAACAAAACAATTTCTGGCTTTGCCATTGCATGTACGAACCTGATTCTTTTAAAGGTAAGATATAAACTCATAATTCTGAAGGGGAGCCTTGACGTATCTGGTAAATTTGCTGCCATGTGACTAGGAGGTCATGAGTTCAAGACGTGGAAACAGCCTCTTCCAGAAATGCAGGATACGGTTGCGTACAATAGACCCTTGTGGTTCGGCCCTTCTGTAGACCCCACATAGCGGGAGCTTAGTGCACGGACTGCCGTTAAAAAAAAACTCATAATTCTCTACCTACTCTGTTTTGTGTGTGACTATCTTATCTAAATTCGTTCACTTTTATTTACTTAATTATAACTTCGAACAGATATGGAGAGAAGGAGGTGGCAGAAATTATGCTAATGCAAGACATTGATTTAGCACATTTGAAGGATGAAGCTAGGGAAACGCCATTGTACAAAGCAGCTGAATATGGGAAGGATGAAGTTTTTAGACTTCTTGAGGATTTTGGGAGTGATTGCTTCGCTAAGAGAAATGATGGTTGCACTGTTCTTCACGCTGCTGTTGACGGTGAACATTACCGTATGTTAGCCAACTTGATACAGCGGGGATAACTCTTTGACTCCGGGAATGGCCCCATTTCGGCTGTGAATCTAATCAACTCCATCTGACCGCCACTACCAGAAAATACCTTTTTTCCGACTACAAATTCCGACTACAAAATGTCAGTCGGAATTTTCCGACTACTATAGTGAGAAATATCATATTTATTTTTTAATTTATTTTTAAGAATTATTTCGAATACGTGTTCGACTAAAATAATCATAAAATTTTACGGGAAATTGCGCGCTAAAAAGTTTCCGACTACCGTAGTCGAAACATTAGATAGTAAAGTCAAAAACACTTTTGACCAAGTGGTCCCGATAGTTGTAGTCAAAATTTTTTTAATTAAAAAAATTAAATAATATATAGTTTCCGACTACAGTAGTCGGAAACGTTAAGTTATTTTCCGCTTACCCTGATTTTCTAATTCTTTTTTCCCATAATCTCTCTCTTACTCTGTGTCTCTTTCTCTATATCTCCTCGCCTCTCTCTCAACGGCGCCGGCAAAATCGGCGACGAGGACTTAATCAGGTACTCTTTCTCTTTCCCGTCTAATCTTTGGCCAAGACTAGGGTTTCGATTTTTGTGTGCAAAATCAATGGCATCACTAGGGTTTCGATTTTAATCAGAGCTTTTCATTCTCTTCACAATTCTTTGTCAAAGTATGCCGAGGTCTTAATTAAGCACTACTGGTTTCTTGACATGATTTACCTTTTTAGTTTCATACCAGTTTATATCAGCGGAGGGAATGAGGCCTGAAATCTGATTTTGTGTAATACTCGTTGAAGTTGAAAGTGTTTTTGATGGGTCCAGTTTATCCATTGATTGATGGGTTTCATACCAGTCTAAAGTCTTTTTTCTCTTGGCTTATGGGTTAAATCTTTCCTTCCTTTTAACACTGATTGACTCATCGTTTTTTTTTTCCTGTTTTCTGACTTGTATGAAACATCGTTTTAACAATTCTGTTCTGCACTGCTTGTGAGCACGTGATTTTTGCCTTGCATGAATTATTCCTATAGAATTCTTAGAATTAGGACTTTTCTTTTATTATTTGGATTTTAGGGAATTAATTGCATGATTTTTGTGTTTGTTTGCTTTTGTGTGCATTTTTAGTTGGCATAATTCATAAAAAATACAAAAAAATAACACATTTGCATTTAGGACTCAATTCTATATTTTTAGGTTTACTAGTTAATTAACATTGAAAAAATAAGAAGAAAATAACAAAAATAGTTCCTTTTGCTTTTTTCCTACTTTTCAAATTGGTTTTAGTTTGTTCAAAATTAGGAATTAATTCTTGAAAATTAATTAGTTTAGTTGTAGAATTAAATCAGGTCTTTATTATTGATTAAACAAAAAATTAAAAAAAAAAGAGAGAAAAGGAATTAATTGAAAAACGAAAATAATAAAAAGAGAAAAACAGGCTGCTATTCAAATTAATGTGACTAGCCCATTGGGAAACCCAGTCCCAGCCCAATCTCACCAAATGGTCCAGCCCAAAATTACCCATGTCCGGTCCAGCACCCCCACAACCTAAACGACCCCGTTTTGCTTGCAACGAATCTCAGCCGCCGAGGTTTGCTTGATCGAACGGCTGAGAAGCTGGGGTGTATAAGTATATATATGTCCAAACGATCCTACCCCCCTCAGGACCCCCTACCCTCTCATCTCTCCCATCTCTTACCGGACACCCCAACACCACCGTTCACCGCCGCCCTCTGCCGTCCGCCGCCGGCTGGAAATCGCCTCCGCCGGCGGCGATTCTCCAAATGACCCCAAATTTATACCCCGTGTTCCTCTCCTCCTCCCCTTTCCATATTTGCCTCCAGTTCCTCTCAAATATCACCCAAACCCCTCGAATATCCAAAACCCTAAACGCCGTCACCGCCGCACACGGCGGCGCCACCCCCAAACCTCCCCAGAATCACATCCCATGCTCTCCTCACTTCCCTCTTCCCAAACCCCTAATTATTTTCTTTCAAATCATCCCCGATTTTCTCGAATTTCAAATCTAAGAATGACAGAACCTTAGAAGTTCAAATGGCTCGAATTCTTCCCAATTTCTTGGGTCCAGTATTGGATTCGAGTCACGAAATAATGGTTTTCGTTTGTTCTTGGTGAAGAACAAACGCTTAACATTATTCTGAGGCTCGAATCGGAGTCCAGCCCTTTTTCAAGCCTTACATAGGCGAGTTTTCTTTTCTTCCTTCTTTTATTCATTTTAAAATTAGTTTTCTGATTAATTCCATGCTTTATTTTTTATTTTTTGTTGGCAGTAACTAGTATTCTAGGTTTTGTATTTTTAGATTAGTTTAAGCTTCTGATTTTTTGTTTTCTCTGATTCGTATTGATGCTAATTCATGACCAGTGTTGCTGAGTGGATTAATTTGAATTGTTGAGGTTTAATTTAGGATTAAAAATAGGTTTAGTTTAATTTGATTAATCGTAGGTTTGTTTGAGTATTACTGTTTCCATATGACATTTTACTTTGTTTTGAATTGTTTCAATTGATAGTTTACTGCTTTTCAATGATGAATTTAGCCTTAGAATTCATATTAGTTAGATTTAAATCAGGTTCAACATAGGTTACAGGATTATTGATTCAATTTTAGGAATTTTTTGGATATAGCTGAATAAATTACTCTTTAATTAACTATAGTTAGACTTTAACTAGGACAAAAGGGGTTTGGGTTGGCTAGTAATTTCAGGGGCAACCAAGGGTAGTTTAGGCACCTGAAATGGGTCAATTTGTTAAGGGTCTGTAATTTTAGAACCAAAATGAGGGTAGAATAGGTATTCCATAGGTAGGAAAACAAAGCTAGAACACCCTAGATCCTTCTAGAAGGGGTCTTAGTGTAAGTTTCTGCATTCTTAATGCAGTAACTTGGGCAACAAGCCACAAATTTAGGGATTAATGTACAATTTCTGAAAATAAAAAGGGGAGAAAATGAGTGAAAACCTCTAGAACGTTCCTGCCCCTTCCTTGCCTATAAAAGGCAGGCCTAGTGCCTTGATTTACAAGTTTTTGAACAATATGAAAAATTCCCAAAAATTTCCAGCCTCTAAAATTCCCCCCCAAAACACCTTCTGCAAGTTTAGGAAGCTGGAAAAAATCGGATTTCAAATTCAAATATTAAATCTGAGAGTTCAAAGAAAGAAAGTTCATTCTAGATCCAAAAATTTCCAGAAAAACCAAAAAAAAAGAGTACAAAAATTCAAATATTACTGTTCCCTTGAAGTTTCTTCACAACAATTTTGAGATCCAGTTTTTAAAGTTGAATTCCTAGCTTATCTAAGATCCTTGTTGAGCTTGTTGTTGTTTGTTTGTGTGCTGCTACTGACTTCTTCTCCTTCGCTGTAACTTTCAGGTACACTTCTTAAGCTTGGAACAATGTAGAAATCAATTTGAGACCTGAAATGAAGTTTGCCGCGCAATTTTTGTTGTAGATCTGTTTGTTTAAACTTCGAGTAGACTATTTGATTTGGTTAATTACTCAATGTAAATAACTTTGGACTGCATTAAACTGTTGAACTCAGGATTTGTGTTGATTCATCTAAAGTCAATAGCCTTAGTGTAGTATAGTTTAATTTCTAATGCTAGTTTACTCTAAAATCAAAAGTGACATAAACTTGAAATCGGTAGCCTTAGTGTAGTATAGTTTAATTTCTAATGCTAGTTTGTTTGAGTTTGCAAATCAGTATGTATGTTTTAATGTTAACGTCAACGATTTAGTTTTAAAAGCAGAAGATATGCGTCTGAGTCCCAGGCCTCGACGTAGGTCCTTGAAATTTATGAGTCTTAAGTGAACTCGAAAAATCAGTAGCATGTTGTTCAAGGCCTCAACATAGGTGTTGATTGCTTCATGTTTAATTCCTCGAGTTTTAGGAGTATTGAGTAAAATTAAATAATCAGTAGATGATTGAAGGATTAAGGCTTAACAACCTATTTGTAATTAAATTGAGCTTCAGATTAACTGATGCACAACCCCAGATCCAGTTCCGGCTTACAACTCGTTTGGGCCTAGGCGAAGGCCCAAGACTGGCCAGTTTCTCGTAAAGTTGAATGGGTTTTCTTTCCCCCTGGGCCAAGTTCAAAATTTGGTATTGGGGGCCTGAATGAATATTAAATATGAGGTTAATGTTGCAACATAGGTTTTTGGGTTTTCTCGTTAAGTAACATGCTTGAATTAAAAGGTGCGCCTCTTGTTCAAGTGTGGACTTGAACTCGAAGCCCAAATTCCTTATTTACTTTAAATAATAGCAATTGATAATATTAATTAATTAGAGCTCTTTAGAGACAAATTCAATAGAAAATTATAGTTTGCTCTAGGATGGCCTTTAAATAATAAAGTGAGATGAGCCTCGCCGAACAAAATGCATAAATTGCGGGGCCCTCATTAAATGCTTAATTAAAAATACTTAGAATTCGGGGCGTGCCGTTTAGCAAATTTCACGGCCCTCCGCAAAGATAATAATCTGTTAGTCGCTTTAGGCGCGCTTTTAATAATTTTACCTTCTTAAACACGGCTGTGCATTTCATGCAACCCAAATCCAAATCCCAAAACGTTGAATAAGAATGTGTCGAGGATCCGGGTGCATTTCATGTGACGTGATCCAAAAACACGTTTTTAAACGACGTTCACTTTCTTTTAAAAGTTAACTAAAAGCGGTAAATAATCTTAAAATTGCATCATAGGTTGGAACATATATAAAAATCAGGTTTTAGCCATTTATAATAATTTAAGCGACCGTGCTAGAACCACGGGATCCGGGGATGCCTAACACCTTCCCCTCAAGTTTAAGTCACAGGCGCCCACCTGGAGAACAAGGGAATTCATTTCAAGTTTAAGTCACAGGCNTTAAACTGTTGAACTCGGGATTTGTGTTGATTCATCTAAAGTCAATAGCCTTAGTGTAGTATAGTTTAATTTCTAATGCTAGTTTACTCTAAAATCAAAAGTGACATAAACTTGAAATCGGTAGCCTTAGTGTAGTATAGTTTAATTTCTAATGCTAGTTTGCTTGAGTTTGCAAATCAGTATGTATGTTTTAATGTTAACGTCAACGATTTAGTTTTAAAAGCAGAAGATATGCATCTGAGTCCCAGGCCTCGACGTAGGTCCTTGAAATTTATGAGTCTTAAGTGA